GATGATGATAATAGTGATGTTTGTGGAAGTGGTTAAGATGGTGCTGTTGGTTTTTGTGGTGGTAGTGATTGTTATGATGCTGATAGAAATATATAATAAAGCTGATGATGATGTAATCATTGGTGGTGATGATGATTATATTTAGACCTCACTTTTCAAACACAGCATCATTGAAGGACCTTTCATACAACATTTTTAGGAGATTCAAGCTAAATTTCAAGACTTCACCCAGACCATTTCACTGAATTCGGAGATGTACAACCGATGTGACAGATTTGCAAAAGACTTAGTTGCTGAAGGTCACACAGAGACTGTTACGATAAAAGATGAACAGGATATTTTAAGGTTGGTTTTGCATTGGTTCGACTTCAAGGCGTATAAACACCTTTATAGATTAGGTATGACTATGCTCCTGTATTACCTTAACTACACCTATTTTTGTATAGATCGATGTGGCGTCAACTTCAAGACCAAATTTCTTCTCGTCAAGAGAGACTGCACAGTGCTTCAGAGATTCATAAATTTAGCAACGACCTTGACGACTTGCTGGATCGTATTCAACAGAAAGATAACTCTTTATCTTTCGACGATGTTGGCCGAGATGCTGGAACTGTCCAGGCCTTACAAAGACAACATGAAGTATTTGAACATGAGTTGAAACCAATGGGAAATGAAGTTTTGGCAATACTGAATGAATCCAGACGACTTAAAGAAGCTTACAAAGGTTTATTTTATGTTGTAATTCACGGACAGTGACACATTTAGCTGTTTAGTTATGTTTAGATCTATCAGCACTGTACCATGCTCTCAGTTTTCTAAAGGCCCAGAAAAGTAGGAAACATTTAAAGCTCGTCAGTTTCTTTAATGTTACCATCCAGGCCTTGGGAACATTGCTTTGGAAACAACATTTGTAAAATGTGATTTTTGTTGCAGGAATAATCCTGACCTTTAGAAAACATGTCTAGGAAACAATGTTTCCTAGTTTGCCCTGCTGGGCGCAACTACAGGAGTATTGTACAACTGTGCATGTATCTTCCACTGCTCAGATAACACAATAAATGTACAGCCGACTTGCTGCATAATTCATGCCGATTTCTTTCGTTGTTAGGTCAAACAGCTGAGGCGATTGATGAGCAGGAACATTTGATTTCAACAAGTTGGAATGAACTGACACAGAAGTCTAAAACTAGAAGGAAAAAACTGGAGGATTCGTTGCAGTTGTACAATCTAAGCAGTACCGTAAGTAGTCACCAAACACTAACATAACTAAAGTAATTTTACTCATTCAGGATAATTTTATCAGATCTCCACTATTCTCTATAGAGGAGTACGTAGTACCAGAGTACCCGAAGAAGCCCTGTAGTATTTGAGTCAAAGTGGAAGCATTAGTGTCAAATTCTCTGCATTTACAGCTAATTCAAAAAAGGTTGTCCTTTGCAAACCTTAAACTCTAAACCATAAACTTTAAACTCTAAGCGTGCATCATAATGGGAGCATCATTTAATCAGTTTAGAAATCATATATGGGGCGCATTTCTTAGAGACATGGCAAGTATATCCTTACGAAAACAATTCATTCAAAAATAGCTGCAATATTTAACTACTAAGCTTGAAACTTGTGATCCCATTAAGCTTTGCACGCTTACGCCCGTATTCTAAAAGCTCACTCACACTCAATGAGTGGAAGTTCAATCTCAGCTTCTCTTGAGCGTCAATGCTGTTTTTGAATAGCTGGAGGGCTAGTGTCATACCTTACTATGTGACTACTCACCCTCCAGCTGTTCAAAAACAGCATTGACACTCAAGAGAAGCTTAGATTGAACCTCCACTCATTGAGTGTGAGTGTGAGTGAGCTTTTAGAATACGGGCGTTAATGTTTTTAAAAGGTTTAGAGTTTAAGGTTTGCAAAGGACAACCTTTTTTGGATTAGATGTATACAATCTAACCATCTCATTATGTGGTATGTATGCATTTAGATTCGTGATTTAACGTCGTGGTGTGCAGAAATTATCCATTCAATGGAAATAGTCGATGTTGTGGATGACATTCCGTCGGTGGAGTCACTTCTCATAGGACATGATGAGAGAAAGAAGGAAATTGAAGCTCGAGAGGAAATGTTTGGTAGTGTCATTGCACAAGGAGAACAGATGATCGAATCAGGACATCATTCCAGTGAAGAGGTGAACAATAATTAAACATTAGTTTTATAATGAAAAAATCTTAATCTTTGATCATTTTCATCTCATATCATATCATACCATACCATACCATACCATACCATACCATACCATGCATACCATACCATACCATACCATACCATACCATACCATACCATACCATACCATACCATACCATACAGGTACCATACCATACCATACCATATCATACCATACCATACCATAGTAACCATACCATATCATATCATATCATACCATACCATACCATACCATACTATGCCATACCATACCATACCATATACCATACATACCATACCAATTTCAACTAATTTTATATTATCAGTATAATTGGATTAGTGCAAGATAGACATAAACTTTTTATTCGTTTACAGATAAGTGAAAAAGTGGAGTTATTGCTGAACGAAAGAGACAGGTTACATGAAAGCTGGACGCAATGTCAGACACAATATGATCAAATGTACGAACTCGCTGTGTTTATGAAAGAAGCGAAACAAATTGAAACAATTATGAGTTCACAAGAGGTAAGATATTTATTATTATGAATTACACTATTCCAGTTAGCTTGAGAGATAACCCACGCGACATGAACTTTCAGATATAGTTACTATCAAATTCACACAGTGCATATCCAAAGACCAATACATGTCTTTTCTCTACGTACAAAAGTAGACAGTATCGTCTCGCTGCAAAGTTGGTTGTGTATACGATTCCTGAACTTTTATCCTGATAACTTTTCAGCCAAGCAAACTTTTCAGCCAAGCAAACTTTTCAACTTGCCCGGTGTGGATGCATACTCAGAGTAACATCACAAACATCATATTTACTTGAGTATATAACACCAACAGACACACACAAAAGTTAAGATAGTTTTATCTGGTTCATAAATTCTAGCTTGTGATGGCTGGAGCGGAACTTGGGAGTGCTGTAGACGAAGTTGAATCACTCCTCAAGAGACACGAGAACTTGGAAAAACTTGTCTTAAATCAAGAAGAAAAGATAGCGGCTTTACAGGAATTATCTGACAACCTTGCAAGTCACGAACATTTTGCTAGTGATGTGTTAAGGGAGCGAGTAGATGTTTTGTGTCAACGTCATGAGAGGCTGCAGAATCTGCTCGAGCAAAGACGTGATAATTTAGAAGATTCGAAGAGGCTGGCCCAGTTTTATCAGGATATTGTGGAGGTAGGAATAAATGCTTTAAATTTTAACTGGATTGGTGGGCACCTGGGTAAGCTGGCTCAGCCCCTAAATAAAGACAGTTTAATGTAGTTTAACTTCACGTTTACTGTATCTTTTCAAACAGTTAAATTCTTGGATTACTGAGAAGCTTCAGACTGCTTCGGACGATTCTTATAAAGACCCAAGTAATCTGGAAAGCAAGCTCAAAAAACACGCTGCATTCTGCGCCGAAATCACAGTTCATCAGGAAACTATTAATGATGTCAAAACTATTGGAGACGCATTAATAAGTAACGAACATTACGCCAGCGATGATATTGCACAGCGACTGGAGTACTTGGAAAACCGCTGGCAAGAGTTACTGCAGTCGTCAAGTATAAAAAGCCAAAGGCTTGCGGAAGCGAGAGATCACGTGAAGTTCAAACAACAGGCTGATACCTTGGAAATGTTGGTTAAAGATAAGGTATGCTGAATACCTCAAAGCTTAGAAACTTTGTTCTCATGCTTGTCCCTCTTGTGAAAGCCTAATTCCCATTTGATCTAAGCTATCGTAGCCAAGTCAATGTCACCACTGTGATACTATACAATAAATATTGTATTGTATGTTATTTTCAGGAAAATATCGTTTCATCTGAAGATACAGGCAACGATTATGAAGAATGTCAAATTTTGAACAGAAAATGTGCGGAATTTGGGCAAGAAATTCAAGTTGAAAGTCAGCAAATTGAAGAAGTTATAACGTTAGCCAATAAACTGGCTTCCGTTCGTCACTCTGGTGTGGAAAACGTTCGTGACAGACAGCAACTGTTGAGTCAAAGATGGAAAAGATTGAAAGAACTGACTATCAAAAGGAAACAAAATTTAGCCGCTGTCTTGCAAGTGTTCTCGTTCCTTAAATCGTGTGATGAGCTACTGGACAATATTAATGAAAAGGTATATAGTCCGGAAGTATAATACTTCATCAAAGAGCCACCTTAAATGAAAAACGGATGTGCGACACGTGTGAGGTTAAACTAAACTGCATAGCTCTATCAGTTTTGTCTTTTTTCTCCCAGGAATTCCGTATAGGGAACATTTTTTCTGACCCGGAGTTACTATGGGATCGGAGGAAACTTTTAACTATACTAACTTTATTTGTACTGGATAACTCTATCAGTTCTAAAGTGAGGCCATCTTTAGGCCCAATGTTACTAAAATGCAGGAGGAAACCAGATTGGAAGCACTCTTCTCACATGTGACTGAGGTGAAATTATAGCAAGTCAACTGCATAATGCAAGAATAGAACCTCGATCACCTAAAAGCATATGCACAAACCATTCTTTAGTGCTCTTTTTGCCTTAGTGAAATCTTCATCGAAGGTACAGTATCTAAAACTAGAGAAGCCACCTCAAAGTTGTTTTGATATTTTCCCAGGGTTCCCTGGCTTCTATAGAAGAGTACGGCAAAGATCTGCCTGGTGTCGAGTCACTGTTACGTAAACATGATGAGCTGGAAAGGAATGTGATTCTGTTGAACGATTCTTTTGAAAAGATGAAAGACAAAGGAGAAAGCCTCAAAACGAATGAAACGAAAATGAAACAAGATTTAGATCTGAAGATTACTGTCATGATGGAGAATTTTGCCCGAGTGAATCAACTCGTTGTCAACAGGTAGCAAAGAGTATTATATATTTTGTGAAAAGATATTCGTACAGTATTAACAACAGTGGATTTTGTTGAAATAAGTGTATGGTTTAATCGAAGCTCTACTTCATCAACGTCTTAAACCAGGCTCTATACCTCTGCCCCTTCCCCTCTGAAACCGCAAGGGGAGGGGGAGGAGTTAAGGGGCGTGGTTGGCGAGGTTGACCTTTCATTAAAGTATTAACGATTTTCATTGGAAAGTACTATTCTTCGGAATATCTCTAATTTGTGACAAAGGATTTTTGCTTTTACTGTGAACATATGTTTTGATTTTGAAACTTCGGTCATAGACAAGAGTTTTGTACTTCGGTGTTTTTTCTTGAAATAACAACTGGAGCACTAAGGATCATCCTTAGAATTCACAGAGCTATCCAGTATAAATAAAGTTCCTACACTTTGCGTATTTTTCAGGCGGGATATGTTGGAAGAACACAAGTTACTTCATATGTTTCTCTCTGATTATGACGACCTCTTGTCCTGGCTACAAGATCTACTGCACCATCTTAAATCTGACGAATTACCTCAAAATTTGAAAGCATCGGAAGAAGCTCTAGGAGTACATCAGGAACGACGGGTAGTTATCCTTTTTATCCTATCCATTCCTATGTATCCCAGTTAATCCAATTCTATATCTTAATTTTAAATCTACAGAGAATGATGGACGCTCATCAAGGTCAATCAAACCGCTGCGTGGAGTTGGGAAACCAACTTATTAATAATGAACATTTTGCTGCTTCGGAAATTCTGAAGAATGTAACAAAACTACAAGATCTCTTGTCTAGTGTTGAGGAAGAATGGAATGGAAGGAAAGAATTATTGGAGCAAGGATTACAACTTCAGGTGTGTTGTGAACAAATCAGGGTGTTAACTAGAAGGGAAAAAAAATTCGGCGATTTAATGAAATTGGGAAATCCAGTTAGCCCGTGACATTCAGACCTAAGTTAAAAAATATCTCATATTCTCCTATTTTGTAATTGTGGTTTGAATGTCGCGTCTCTTAAGTGGCAATCTCGTTTCCTAGCAGATTTCAATTGACCCGGGTGAACTAAATTGAAACCTTTGGAGTACACGTTTACTGACATTGTTTTGCGTACTACAGTAACAACAGACAAATACATTTTTGGCCGAATGGCATCCTCGCAACACTTACCTAGTTCCCAATTCTTCTTAAGCAACGTCCTGAAGTTGAATAATAAAATATATAATAATAGTTACTTTTTTGGCCGATCTAATTAAATTGCGAGATTGGTAGCTGAACGTAATTGGGTAAACTCTGTATAACTCCAAATTTTTGTCTGTCGCTTACACTGCTCAAATACATGCGGTTTATTCTGTACTGAATCGAAAGTTTTCTGACTTGAGGTTCTATTTTAATTTTGTTTCATTTTTGTAGCGTTTTCTGGCAGATGTAAGCCAATTCGAGCACTGGATTGTGTCCAAGGAGACTTATGTTTTAAATGACGACTTAGGCGATTCTCTGCCCTCCGTTGACGAACTTCTTAAAAATCACACAAACGTGATGAACTCGCTGCTTGCTTACGAAGAACAAGCAAAGAAATTAACAACAACCTCTGAGAAACTGCTAGAATCCGGTAACTACAATGATAAAGTAATCAAAAAGACAACTCTGATCATGAATGAAAAATGGAAAGGATTAAAGGCCTCTGCTGGTGACAAACAAACAAGGCTCGAAGAATCAAAATTGTTGCAACAGTTTCTACAGGATTCTCATGAGGTAAAATGTATTTAATGTAATTTTCACAAGCATGAATATCGGTTGATATCTGAACTATCTGAAATTTACTGAAAATGATTATAAACACTTTGATATTTCGAGCGAAGCCCCATATCTCAGAGAGTAACGATGACAGTTTGTCGCATGAAGAATACTACCTATGTTGGGCCATGTATGTTTGACATAATTATATTGTGTACCATTAATATGCTTTTTGGTGGAAATAAGTTGAAGTCTTCCATTTATTTTTTAGCTCGAGTCATGGATGAAAGAAAAATTGCAAATAGCGAACGATACTTCGTATTTAGAAAGAAGTAACCTTCAACAAATTTTACAAAAACACAAGACACTGGAATCCGAGCTGTCTGCAAATACAAGAAGTGTCGAAGACGCAATCCTTCAGGGCAAAACCTTGGTTCAAGACAAACATTTCGCTTCTATTACGATAGGAAAAACGATCGACGAAATACAAAGATCTTGGAATGAACTGAACGAAAAGGCCAAAGACCGGGGGAAGAAACTTCATCAAGCTTCCGAGAAGAGGGGTTTTGACTGGTCCATCGAGGATTTCATCGAATGGTTATCGAACGTAGAGAAAGCATTAACTTCGGAAGACTTGGGACAAGATTTGAACAGTGTTAACAGTTTAATAAAGAAACAAGGCTTACTAGAAACAGACATTGCTGCACATCGGGAAAGACTGAATGAGATTTCGCGAAGAGTTGAAGAGTTTGAAGAGACCAACCATTTTCAATTGGATGAGATTCGTCAAAAGGCCGATGAAGTTACAAAAAGGTAAAATGTATTACGTAAATGTATTAGCATTCAGTTGGTAGAGTATTCTGGCTAAAGGTGTTCCGTATTGTAAGTCAGGAAAACTCTATAAGTCGTATACCAGTACTGGTTGGTTGCATGACAATTCTGCCTTTCAATTCTGTGTCTTGATTCCTGTAATATACTCAAATCTTGCATTGTAATTCATCTCAGTCCCATGTGAAATAAATAGAGGATATTACACGGCGGCGCGAAGATATGACTTTTTATCTTCGAGTGGTGAAAACAATATTTAACGAACGAGCGCAGCGAGTGAGTAAAATTTTGTTTTGAACACGAGAAGATAAAAGTCATATCTTCAAGCCAACGTGTAATGTTCTGTTTATTATATAGTCCCAAGCAAAAAACTGTATAAGTACTAAAAGTCACTATATATAATAAATGCCCTTAGTTTGACTCTTCGAAAACCATACGTTTTCTCTGGGGGGCTCTGGTTTCCTCCTGTAATAACACTAGACCAATAAGGGTTACTGGATGTATATAGGAAGAACAATTTAGAACTGATAACGCTACCAAGTATAAGAAGCAAAGGTAGTTTAGTTTAGTATATTCTCATGAGTGGTTTTAATGTACATATGATGATTGTTCTCATACTTGTAGGTACAACGATCTAACCGAGCCTGCTGTACATCGCTCGTCGCTGTTACAGCGGTCGTTGCATCTTCATCAATTTCTTCGCGATGTGCAAGATCAACTGAGATGGTTACAGGAAAAACAAAGAATGGCAGAATCAGATGAAGTGGGCCAAGATTTACTAGGTATTTCAAAGTCTAATGTATTATTTTTAAGTCTTAAATTCAGCTTCAAATTTGACAATAATTGCAAAAATTGGCAAAAATAGAAATTCCTCAAATTCAACAGCAAATTAAATTCCAAGTATGAATTTTAATTTCATAGTTGCGGAACCCCTCCCAGCATCGAAAAGTAGTATATTCCTTTACTAAAAATTGGTATATTCCTGTGTACTGAAAACTAGTATATTCCTGTGTATTTTCCCAGTACTGAAATGTAGTATATTCCTGTGTCGGTCTAGGAGCTGAGGCATTGATGAAAAAACACGAAGTGCTGGAAACTGAGGTGACTGTTCGTGAACAGCTTGTTAGGACTGTGGAAAAGACTGGGGAACGCTTGATTAGTGAGCAACATTACGCATCGGAAGATATTCTTGAAAAGAACAGTTCTCTTCAGGAAGCATGGAAAACATTGCTAGCAACTATTGAAGAGAGGAGGAAGAAACTGGATGACTCTTTACAAGTGCAGAAGGTAGGGGGCTTATCAAAATGCAATGTTAATTTAGTCATTCCAATTGTGCTAGAAATTCGAAAAATTGGAAAGAGCAATTCTACGGTATTACTAATGAATAGCCGTTTCTTCTTTATGTAGTATTATCGCAATGTTCTCGATACCGAGTCATGGATCACAGACAAGCTGTATCTTGCTAATAGTGATGATTTGGGTCAGTCTGAAGAGAGTGCAGAACTTCTACTTCGCTCTCATGAAACCTTGCAACTTGATGTACATGGATTTGAATCGAAAATAAACGAATTGAAGAAACTTAGTCAGGATATGATACAAAATGGACATTTTGAACATGTCCTTATTGCAGAACGTCAGGTACTTAAACCAGTAGCTAACTTTAGTTGGATTGAATTGTAATATAAGGAATACATGTTTTCCAAAAGAAAACTATATATGGGTGTCTCCAGATAGTCCGGTTTCCTCCTAACGGAACAGTAGACGAATAAGGAATGACTCTCACTGGACCTCGTAGGAGAACAGTTGAGAACTGATAGAGCTATCCAGTAAAATCCAGTTTTTTTTTATTCTTAGACGAAACTGGAACAGAAGTTCGAAGATTTAAAACAGAGTGTGGAAGTACGGCAACAACGCTTAGAAGACTCCGTATCTTGGTTTAAATTTTCCCACGAGATTGCTGAACTCCGTGACTGGATGCTTGATTTAGAGAAAGTCGTAGACTCCGAGGATTGCGGCACAGATTTGGAGCATGCGCAAATGCTGCTGAATAAGTTTGAAGATTTCGCGCGAGATTTAGTTTCATCTGAGGACCGAGTGGTAGCCATCAACGATATGGGTCAGGAAGTGATTGAAGCTGGACATAGCCAGGCACAGGTACAGATAAAGCTGTTTAACTTTAAAAAGAATAAAAACCTACCATTATTCTACAACAGTGTACTCCATCATTTCACATGTGAAATGGTATGTGCATTTTCCGTAAGGGAGGGTAGCACCAAGGCAATTTGCATAGTGTAACATCGACTTGTCTGTTGTGGATGCGAAACTTGATTGTAACTCGCCTAAACTCACCGCAAGTTTGGACGATTTAAGGTGAGTTTTGGCGATTTAAGGTGAGTTAAGGTCCCAGACAAGTACATATAAAGCAAAGTGGACCGCAGTCACAGATGTGAAAAGCAGAGGCACTAATAATCATTGTACTACCAGCTCACTATCTTCTTTGTGTTTCAGGATATTGAACGAACGATATTGGAACTTTGTGAAGACTGGGATGATTTGAAGGAGCGAGCTAGCGCGCGGTTGAAGAGACTAGAAGACTCGCGAGACTTGCATAGTTTTAAGAACAACATGGAGGACACAAAAACGTGGATCCAGGAGAAACAGGGGATGTTGATGTACAATGAGGATCTTGGAAAAGACTGCTTAACTGTAAAGAAATTGTTACGAAAACATGATGAAATGAAGGTATTATGTCGGCGGCAATACGATTTTACGAAGGTGTTATATTATGTGTTGTGACGTCATTTGTAAGGGGGCTCAATAGATGGATTCAATATTATCAAATTTGAGGATTTATTAATTAGTTACTTTACTTAGCCTTAACCTTTTTTCTTCATTTACAGAGAGACGTGGATGCTGTATCAATGAAAGCAAAGAACTTCCAAAAAGATGGTCTCAACTTAGCTTCCCAAGTTCCTGCAGAAAAGGAGGGCCTCGAACTGTTGCTCGCAGAAGTTGGTGATATGCTTCAACAATTGCTTTCAAGCATGGCTTCTCGACGACAAAAGCTTGAACAGTCTTTGGAGTTGCAACAGTTTCTAAGTGAACACAAGAATATCAGGTAAAATGCCTTCGTACATGATTTAACAATCATATGATTTTTAGTAATTACTCCACTTATTTTGATTTATATTGTTTCTGCTTTTCAGTTCTTGGATAGCAAATATGACTGCACAGGTGAAGTCAGATTACCATGGAAACAACGGAACTGCTCTTGAAGGGATGTTATCTAAACATCATGAACTTAAAACAGAAGTCGATACAATGCGTAAAAATGATGAAAACCTCGATGCCTCTGGTGAAAATCTCCTCAGGGAACAACATTATGCTTCGGAAATGATAACAGAGAAGCTTGAAGAATTGCGTACAAGTTGGAGTGTTCTTTTGAAATCATGGGAAGATCGCACTGAGGAGCTTCAGAAACGAAAGAAAGCTGAAAATATGAATCGTGAGGTTACTCAACTGGAAGCATGGTTGCTTAACCAAGAGGCTGAACTCTCGTTGAATGAGATTGGCAATTGTTTGGAAAATGTTGAGGATTTATTGAAGAGACATGATAAAGTCGAAAGAATGTTACATGCTCAAGAGGAACGTTTTCTGGGCTTGATCCACTCCTCAGATGACGAGGAGGGTTACAATGTGGCAATTGAGGAGAATGAAGGCGCTGTTATCGAGCATGTTGATGATCTAACTTCTACGTCCTTGGCTTCAGAAGATAATTTTTCAGCGAATAACAACTATGATACAGCATATATTAGTGAGATATCTGAATTGAACAGCACATCAAGCCCTCATAATGGCTTAACAAACAGGTCCTTGGATTCTGACGACTTTTCAACGAGCACAGCAGAAATAACTAAGCTGTCTGAATTGAACAGTATGCCAGATTTGTCAAATTTCAATTTTCAAGGTGAAGAAACTGGTGGCAGGGTCATACAAAGTGATCAGTTACCCAAACTCAATTTAGCGGCTTCGGAGTGGACGATGGACCAAAGTGATGATGACTCTAAATTGACCGAAGACGCGGCGATGCTTATCGATGGAATGGCAATTGGTGTTGGAAATGATCATGTAAAAGCTGATGTTCCAGATATGTTTGTAGACAAAGCGAGCTCAGAAACTATGGACTATGAAAGTACTAGAGTCATTGATGAATACCCTACATCAACCAGTACAGATGTTTTTAATGAGAGAATTAAAACGAACTCTCCCAAACTTCAGAATAAGAAAAGTTTGTATAAAGAACCAATGTCAGCCTCAGATCGTATACTAGGCGTTTCGCCTTTGTGCTCTGGAATGTTGCAACGTAAACAAGAGACAGACATTTCAGGGCAGCGTTCGGTTGCTCAACCTTGGAGGTCGTATTATACAGTTCTATCTGAAGATATTCTTCAATTCTTTAAAGATCTCGAAGGTTTTAAATCTAAGTGGCATGTGTCGAAGCCTATGAGTTTAGTAGGTTCTTTCTGTGAACAAGTTAGGGAAAGTTCAAGACAGGGTTATATATTTAGAGTCATTTTTCGTGATAAGTCCGAGTATTTGTTTGCTACTGAAAATGAGGAAGAACGTAAGTTGTGGGTGATGAAAATCAATTCGGTGATAAAAATGGCTGCAAGGTATGGTAGCAGTAGTGGTGGTGATGGTAACGTTTACTATGGTGATAATAGTGGTAGTCATGGTGATAATGATGGTCATGATGATGCTTATGGTCACATTCACCACAGAGATGGTGATTTTGATGGTGCTGGCCATGATAATAGTGATGATCTTCATTCTGATAATGATGAAGATGATGGTGGTCGTTATAGTCAAGTTTATCATGATGATAGTGATGGTGCTTTTGATGGTGATAGGGATGATCATGATTCTGGTAATGATGGCAGAGGTGATATTGACGATATTAAACCCGATGATAAAAATTCAAATAATCTTAAAAAAGCGCATTCCGACCTTTACAACTCCAATACACCCATGATTGTCATCACAGATACGAATTCAAACAACGAATTTCTGGTGGAAGATGAGATTTATACTGACACACATTCATCGTCTGAAGAGGATGCTCAACTTTCTGATATTCAATTGTCTGATAAAGATATGCGATTGTCTGATGAAGATACGATGTCATTACCTGAGTACTCTGACTACGAACAACCAAGTTGGTATCCTACGCCGAATTCGGATTCATTGGATCATAATGACGCGTATCCAGTTCCTAAACTTTCCAATCAGGACAATGGTTCCACCAGTGATAGTGACTCATTCGAAACCCCACCCCCTCCCCCCAGTAACCCACCGTCTTATCCTGCTGCCGACTCGATCGCTCCCCCTGGTAAACCTTCAGCTCGCGTCTTCAAAACCAAAGACAGCAAGGAATATAATTCCCCACCTCCCGTGCCAAGCACCCCACCTCCCTCAATCCCTGTATCAGACATAGAATCAAATCTCTCCCCTGACTTGCCAGAGGGTTTTCCTCCGGAGGCCACGGATGATAATCTTTCGGATTTGTTGGATTTCATCCCCCCTCCTGTGTTGGACCCATCTTTCGATTTTCTCGAGGGAACGAAGGACGAAGTCAAGTTTACTCCTTCAACACGACCTCAACCAGAAACCAAGAGTGATCCCTCTACTTCTTCGAGGTTTAGTTCTCGGAGAATCGCCCCTCCCCCGCCTCCCCGTCCCTCCGTGTCATTGCTGTCCGACATGGACCTACCTATATCTATACAAACCGAGCGGAAACAACATGAACGCAAAGACGAAAAGAAAGGACTGTTCTCAGGTATCTTTAAAAGAAAGAAATAAAGGAGCCATATGATTTAAAACGCCTTAATTTTGACCCATCACAAAAAAACAGTAAAATTGTAGATATGACTGAATCGTATTCGTAATAAGTAGAATTAATGTTTATGCACGTTGCTACCCTTTACTTGCATACTACTTTTGTTCCATTCTATACCCGCATTATCATAACCATGGTAACCAGACAATGATGACTTCGGTGCGAACTAGAAGGAAACATGTGTTTACGTGTAATTTTGTATTATGTATGCATTATCACTATATTTTTTCTCTATGATTTTTTGTAACTTTGTATAAATTTTTACGCACTCACCGCATGAAATATATTCCGACAAACTTGTAAATTTTTGTGGGAGAAATAAATGTATTACAATGGACTTTCCAGATCTATTGTATTTCAAGTACTGAATTATTTTAGAATATGAAGAAAATACACTAGTCTGCATTTAATATAAAGGAACAGTCACAGATATAACTATGTATTAGTATTGCCAACTTTCATATTTGTCAAAATTGCTCATCTGTAGATGCAACCGACGGTAATTCCCAACCTCGTACCCAGGGCTAGTCGCGAATTGAAGGCGGCGACGCCGCCTTCAATTCGCGACTAGCCCTGGGTACGAGGTTGGGTAATTCCAACTTTGCAAAGGCAAAGCTGCGCAGAACCACCTTAAGAAAACCAATCACAATCAAGGAAGATTTCAAGGCGGGAAAATTTTGTTGACAAAATGGCTGTTCAGTTTGCGTTGAATATGTTAAATTTTAGTTGAAAATTCTTGGAATTTTGGACGAATTTTGTTTGAATAAAGCGAAAATTAGTAAGAAGACAGTTTCTGCGAAGTGAAAGAGTGATTTTAAGTTTGTTATGCAGGAGAATTGGCCAAGAATTGGTCTTGATTTTTTAATGTTGGAACCTCGTGTTGAACCAGCAGCCTTGTTGGACTTGTTGTAATAGCAAATTTAATACTGTAAGTCTTTCTTATTGCATATAGTATAATATAGTTTGTGTGTATAATCATGTGATTGCTTCCATTTGTATATTTATATATTGATAGTATTGTTAAAGAAGATATATAAATAGTACTTTCAGACGATATTTTAGTATTTTTAGAGAAGATTCGTGAGTGACCTTTGACTTTGACCTCAAGACTTAACAAACCTTTATAGGTTCAAATGGAGCGAATGTATTAAAAGGAAGAATGGCCATGAGTAATATATATAATGAATGTGTACAGTAAGGTTAAAAATGTCTTGAAATTTGCATGCCATTTCACATTTATTCTGCATTTCATTCTGCACCAGTTAAGATGGGACTCATGGGACCAGCAATCAATGATGGAAACAGCAAAATGTGATGGTGAACAAATGGTAAACCCATAAATCAGATGGGTGAATAAAATTGTCGGGCACTAGGCAGATTGTCGGATGTGGATTTGCTGGAGTGGTTGACGTAAATCAGCATGTAACAGTTCTAACAGATATTCTCTACTGTAATTTTGAAAGAATGGGTGAATGTTTATTTCCTAGTAATTTACATATGTACAACTAAAGTTTCAAAATGTATTTTTAACATGCAGAGCATGTTAACACAGATTACTGCTAAACTTTGTGCCAACTAACAAGTCTTGTTGCAAAAACATTGTTTCCTAATAATAAACAATGTAGTACAGGAAACATGTTTAGGGAATAGGTCATTCCAGAAAAGATCTACACTTGTGGTAAGTGTATTCGGACATCCAGAGAGCAATAGGGGGGTTAACTTCCAATTTCCTCTGTGGGGGAGGTATTGATGTTTTCTGGAATGACCCAATCTACACCTGCGACTATTATATTTCCTAGTCTTGCAGACTATATACTAGGCATTTCCCAAATTTGTTGCAGTGCACATGGCACAATGCAGGGTCTGAAAATTTGCAGCATCCCAATATCCACAGGATACTAAGGATACATACTGTAGTAAGACTCCATTTTGGATACCAAAATGACTTGACTTGTATCCTGACTGGATGTTACAAATTTTCAAACATTAGGATAATGTGAAATGTCTCTAGTGTTCTCCCAATAGCTTTGAATACTATGATTCTTCCTTGCTGAAAATAATCATCCTTTGATTTCAAACTTGGTGGTCTAGTTGTCGACTGTTGAATCTCCTGTTGTTATTGTACTTACTTTGATGGTTCAGGGATGCCAAGATTTATGGTATAACCAGTATCCAGAAGTGGGATACTGGAATCTCAGATGGGATACTAGAACTTTGAATTCTTGCAAAACATTTAAATTTCATGGCCTGCACGGTATTGATACAATCAAGGTTTATTCAATGTTTGTCAAGCAAATTTGCAAAATGTCTAGTGGCCACTTTAAAATTGATGAAGGTATTCGAACAAAGTGTTAATGAATATAATATTGAAATGAGAGGTTGGGTAATTGTGTGTTCCTAAGGGACGGACCATTAGAAATCCCGGGAGGGGGAAAAATTGCCCCAAAAAAAAAAAAAATCGTGCAAAGAAAAATGCCTGGGAAAAAATCCGCGCAGCCATTACGTCAGAGAAAACAAATTTGTGCAAGCAAACAGCAAAGTGCAAATAGTCTTGAAAAAAATTCTTGCAGAGGTTAAATGCATATAAAAATCCTGCAGAGACATCAGACTGAAAAAAAAATCGTGTATTTTTTATACCCCCCCGGGATTTCTAATGGTCCGCCCCTAAAACAGTATGATCCGAATATGATCATCCAACTTTGCATTGTCACTAATTTTGAGTTGCTCTTTCCAGTGAGTGATATTGTGACAATTGCAAACTTTGTCTCTTTTTAACACTTGGCGCTCATCAATATTGAAGAACCTGGCAGGTTATTAACTGAGGTCAAATTAAATAAAATTTCTACAATCCCTATGTCATAATACTGAAACGTATTGAACTAGCGAAGCTTTGCTGTAAGGTACACTACGACGGTGGTTAGTCCAATCTGTGTGGTTTGTGCAAGTTTGATGATTTCGTATGGCATTGTCAACATCGTTAGCAAAACTAATCCTCCTGCTTATTCTATTATTATTATTATTATCTTGACGTCTGTTTGGTATCTCTCCATTGGTTCTGGTAATTATATTGACCAAAGTTTCCCGACGACTTGACGACCTTCGGAATGACCGGGTCCGGTTGAATGTGGTCCCTAGATCGTCAAAGATTTCCGGACGGTTGTCCCAGTCCAGGCGATCTCCTAGCACAAGTCTAGCACACGGCTTGATTAATATTCTGAAATAGCTGCGGAATGATTTCCTAAATTCTTCGTTACAGGCGTTGTAAATGATTGGGTTGGTAAAACTGTTCCCATAGAGCATTGTGATTGCGATTGATGAGATCTCCTCGTTGTATTTTGAACTAGCTAAACGTAATATACATAACATAATAAACATACACTGGAAAAAAATTTGAAAATCCATAAAAGGTCATAGAATGGAAATTGTATGGACCTTTATTGGAAATAGAATGGATTTTGGTTATCCATAATAATTGTATATTCCCATAGTATGGAAATAGTACTATGGATTTTGTGGTACAATTGCAAATTTCGTAGTATCGATTTCACTTCTTTATACTATAGATTATTTTGCGATCATCTAGTAAAGCCTACGAGTGCTTATGATCCTGTGTCTTAAACTGAACCACCTTTTATATTATACTGGATAACTTTATCAGTTATAAATTGTTCTCCATCGATGTCGGGAAACCCTTATTGGTCCACTGAGAGAGTCAAATAGAAACCCTCTTTACAAACACGAAATAACTGCATGCTCTATCAGTTCTAAAAGGTCCTCCCTAGTGGTCGAGTATAAGGGTGATTCCTTATTGGTCCAGTATTACAACAGGATGAAATCTAGAATGAATCTATCAAAGTTTTAGTGATGTCGAAAGTAATTTTGATATGATCACTTACCTCCGTCGAAAAAGTCATACCAAATTTGTACGATATGCAGGGGTAAAACCAGTATAGCAAAAACAACGACGACAACTATTAACATCTTTAAGACTTTGCGTGTTTCTTTATAGTGACTCCTGGTGCGTTCATCGTGGTTTGGGTTCTTGGTCAACTCACGACCAACTCTAAAAGGAGAGAAGGTAAACCTCATTAGTTTAGGAAGTGAGAGCAGGCGTTTATTTATTAGTGCACATAGAAGTTCTTGTAACTATAGTTTGGCCAAGAACGTTGTTCATTGTAAGGCGAGACTTTTTTTATTTATTGGTTTACGGATTTAACTTAAAAAAAAACAGGTTGGTATAGGTCGGAAAAAAACTAAAAAAAACACATTGTTTTTCAAGATTGTCACAACTATAACATAAGCCAGCAGTACTTTGAGTCAAAGTTTACTTGACATAATTAACTACAATTAACTATAAAAATTAACTATAAAACTTAACTAAAATCGTAAAATTGTTGACATCCAATTTTTTTTTTATTTTTCACTTTCTGAAAATTTACGGTCGGCAGATCCGCGTAAACCAATGAATAAAAAAAGTCTTGCCTAAGTTAATATTGACAACTTAACATTCAACCTTATACATTCTCCTGTAGTGGAGGAAATAGGCATGCAAACTTTCGATTAAGAAAGAATGATCATGATATATGACGTGACAATGCAATTTTAAACGCGGAGGTTCAATGTGGGTAGTCTTCTACAATAAACTGTTGTGACTTTGGTTGACAGATAACTAAGCCGGCTTGTTTAGAAATAAGAATACACATTTTATTTGGGTATCTACAGGGGCTGGTTGCTCAAAATCCGGTTGACTTAATCGTGGGTTAAAGAGAAACATCATCAAAGCAAACTTTTCAACAGCTTGCTCATAGACCTGGGGCCGGTTGTTCAAAGCTGGGTTAGCTTAACCCTAGGTTAACGTAAAGTTCAAAGCAAACTTCCTGACAGCTTGTCTATAAATTTGGAAATATTTCTTCAGAGATCTTGTTTGGATTGATAAGAGTTTACTTCTCTGAAGTTTTGAAATAAACAGACGTGTAGAAATACACAAACTAAAACAGCAGGTTAATTTAAATTTTAACCCAGGGTTAGCGCTAACCCACCTTTGAACAACTGGCCCCTGAAGTTTTAAAGTTTGTTCGTTCACTGCAACCAGGTATATCAATCATGTTTCGCTCGCTACTCTGGTTTAAATAAATGGTTACAAAGCCCAGTCGAATTGTAATCAAGACCCAACGTTTCGACACTCCAGTCTAGTGTCTTCATCAGGGGTGATCTAAAGTTGCAATCGTGGCTTCTTAAACACCCAAGGGATGACGTCACCTGCCAATGAGATGCATGAATTCCTCTGCCAAATAGGCACCATCATCCCTATTCAAAGCATGATTACTTATATTTATTTAAACCAGAGTAGCGAGCGAAACAAGACCTGACGTTCTAGCTCCAGATATATAGAGCTCACCGGCTTTGAACAACCGACCTTCTGCGTGTTGGACGATAACTTACCTGATGTATGAAAAGGCAATGATTGCTAGCGGTACGACATATTGCGTAATAAATATTCCTATTGTATAATATTTTGGATCCATTCCCGCTGATTGGAAGTCCTCCACACACTCGCCGTCTTTGATGTCTAATGATGCCATATATGGCGACACGAGGACGAGGCTGATTGCCCAAACTGGCAAGATCATCAATCTCGCGTGTGTTCGTCGTAACTGAGGTTTCAGAGGATGCACTATTGCCACATATCTGCACGAGGGAGAAAGAAATGTTAGTGAAGGCCGTAACTAACTCTTGACGAAGGGCCTTCGCTCGAAACGTCGAGTTTCTGCTTGTTTATTTCAGGTAGATTAATATAACCACCCAGCAAAGCAATTTCACATGGTACTACCTACACTGGTACAGAGGTACAGACACGAGGGCTTTTTGCATGCTGCAACTTGCAACACAATTTCTGATATAGAGCACAGTTTATCAAGATACGATGGTCCATGGAAGCCCGGCAAACCTCAAAGCCACAAAATAGAAGACCTTTGTTTGATGTTGAACTGTACACCTCGCCGTGCGCAAATCCTTTGTCTCAACTTCATTAAATATTATTCATCGTGGTTGCACGTTTCATCTCAGCTATCCTTACGATTGCTTAATTTCACGAAAATACAATGAACTCAATCACCGTGACCGTGCACAAATTAGTATAAACTCGGACAAAAACAGAACACAATGCCTTCTGTTCAGTTTCCAGACCAGAATATCTTGATTGACTATCTATGGAGCCATGCCCATGGTCTATAGACTATAAAAAGAATTCGCAGGATAGGAACATAGCCCACAGTTTGTTACGGATCCGCTCCCCTCCCCCTTCATAGTGCCCACTAGAGCTATAGTGTGCCCAAGGAAGAAAGATTCATACACCATGGCCACACAGGAAACAATACGGAATCAATTTAGTCGAGTTAATGTACTCATAAACACTGGTGGTTAACAAATTAATTTTCGACTTGTTCTGATAAGGAACCGACGCATCGTGTGCGTCACAAAATCGTTATCACCTAACCTCGCTGAAAAATCAGTGATCTAGAATAAGTCTCTGAGTTTTGTTACTGTAGCATTACTTCCCATTTTAACATCCGTATTTTTGATAGTATTTTCTTGTTATCGCGTTCTAAAACACCACACATCATGCATGCACGGACCTTAAGCTTATTGAGCTACCCCGTATACTATATATATGCAAACAGGTTATTACATGATATTGAAGGCATGGTATCTATTGTTATTAGTCGGCATGCGGGTCCACCGTTGACCATAGTAGTTATGTTTTTGCCTTCACAAAATTGTTTTTCTCACGTTTCACCCGCGTTTGCCAAAATATTTTTGTGGTTTGCCAGGAAGGCTAATCCGTTTTGTTTTCTCATCAGGAATTTTTTAATAATGTTGGGTTTTTAATTAAAATGTCGTAAGATGATTTTTCTTTCGGTTTTGCCAACCTTCCATGTAGGTTCAACATTGTGTTTCATTGTGTTAACATATCTGTTGCACATGCCGGTATGCGTTTCAAAACACACTTAACTGGCATCATAAGACTTAACCTGTAGGCATTATACCAATTTTGATTGAAGTATTTTCAAATACAATGCAATGTACAATTTGGTCCAAACATACTTGGCGTACGGCAACATTCTATACGCCCAAAAATTCTTGGGGCACGCCAACAAAAATTACTCAAATCTATATCAGCAAATTCACTCATTTCAAATTTAACACAGAAAATGAGTAAATGTGCTAATTTTGGCTTTCAAGTATTTTCAAATCCAATGTACCATTGATTTTTACTAATAAATTTGAGTAACTTTACTCAATATTTTGAGTGACTGCATATGCGTAGTGCATTATTTTACTTTAAGTTCTTGATTTAAAATTTTTTGCAGTGTAAAGGTTTCATATATAGGACTGAGTCATGATTGACCAAAGTCTTCATATTTCAAAACTAACAACCGTCGTTAGGGTCGACCTTTATTTTCAACAAGTATAGGCAGGCCTATATTAAACTGACAGCACCTCATATAGTATTAAACCTGGTATTATCATCTAGACAAATCTATAAAGAACGTAGCCTTGAACTTTGGTGCGATAAAAATACCAAGCCATATGAAAGTGGAAAGTGTAAACAGCAATTAATGTTAATTTAAACTGATAATATGGAACACCTGCGAAGATGTGCTGAGCTATCAAAATATTAAAGCCAAATGAAGTCCTTTTCTGCATGGCTATCAAAATGTTCCGTTTCGAAGATAACTTCTGTCTTCAAATATAGAACCGCATCGTAACATACTGCATTAATCTTACTTCCAGAACAACCAAATCATTGCCGACATGTTGTATTATTTCTTCACCGTAAGAATACAATCAAGATATTGACAACAATGAATGCTATGTAAGATTCGCTCTTGTATTATCTACTTATGCCATTAAGATATTGCCCTTAAGTTTAATTTCAAAACAGATGAAGTGCACGATAAGAGTGCCTTGAACGTTGGGTGCCATTTTAGGTAGCAAGAATGCAAATTGGGAATTTGTGTAGATGAATACAACTACCTTAAAAATACAAAAAAAACTTGGTCGTTTCGAGCGAAGGCCCATCATCTGAAAGTTGACAGCCCACTAACCTACAGAGGTACTTAGGTGGCGCAGTCGACAGAGAAAGCGCCCTTCACCTCTGAGATTCCCGCTATGGACTCATGTGAAAAGAGTCAGTCAACGCTCTGCCGAAAGTCGTGGGGTTTCTCCGGGTGCTCCAGTTTCCTCCCACAGGGAAAGTTGACAGGGTGGTTTAGGATAAACATAGTTAGGAAAGTAATATCACAATTGTTGTAAAGATAAATAGTCTAAGCTTAGTAGTTAACATAAGTAAGCGTAATACTTGATGTAATCGGTAACTGAAAAGTCCCGATGGGGAGTGAGTTGACTAATCATGATCAGGCTATGATTATGAAGGGCCTTTGCTTGAAACGCCAAAGTTCTTCTCATATTTTTCATCTATACAGTTGAAGCTTGTTAGTTGTTGCCGCTAACGACGTTTATGTGATCATGGTGGCATTAGCTGTGATTGAAAACTTCAATAGATGGGTCAAGCCATGAAAACAAAAGATTTTTATAAACAGTATCTATGACCCCAATTTCTGTCAACAAGTCACGTTTGCTTATCATTTTAGGATTAATGATTTTAGTCGTTTTAGTTGACTGACTTTTATTGGACTCCGATCGCATGCAACTAAAATGTCACTGCGGACTCAATGGACCTTTCCCCTTATAACTAAAATTTCGATCTAGACAAAAATTTCATCACAGCTTGAAAGAGCATCACAAAATTAGTAATATTCCAAAGTTTTGTTGCAAAATCTTGTAAAATGCGGATAATATAGCCTTGCGAAGTTTGCCGTTTTTCAGTCATTTTGTATTACAAACGGGAAATTGACATCCGATTCGGGTGTTGGGGCTGCAATTTCCCGTTTGTAATGCAAAATGAAAATTGCAAATTTCGCAAGGCTCTATTTTCCTCATTTTACAACATTTCGCAACGAAACTTTGGAATATTACTAATTTTGTGATGCTCTTTCAAGCTGTGATGAAATATTTGTATAGACCTGCCTAGATCAAAATTTTGGTTATAAGGGGAAAGGTCTATTTGGAACCGTTGATAAAATTTGCACGATTTCGTTTTGTGTTCACATGGCACACACGTGAAAGGACGAATACAGCTGACCGTCGACCCATATGGCGTGCATGTTATAGTAATGTCTTCCTCGCTGCATGAGCGCAAGGGTCCATGCTGTGTCGACTGTGCTTATTACAAATTGCACTACATTATTTAGTACTGAACGTCTTTGTTTTTCTCACATAAGAGGATTACAGTCAGTCAATTACTGCACAGTTTGGAGTTTACATTTTTCGGTCCTATTTCTTTGGGAACGGATTAAACAAGGCGTCGGAAATTATGCTGCAAAACAGTGCATGTATCGACTGCATTATTTTGGAAACATTTTGTTAATTTTGTACTGTAGATAACACAATTATAAAGATTTTTATGCCGTATAGTATTCCAATTCATGTTGTTAGTGTGGTGAACCTTGAGGTCTCAGTGACATTTTACAGCAGGCGTTTATTATACACAAGTGTGAAGAAGCTCTTTTAAATAGGTTTGCTAAATATAGATCGGACGAAAAATAGGATGAAAATTTGGTCAATTTTGAATCTGATTTTGACGTGAAGAAAATATAGTAGATTATCTCGATCTGGAAACCATGCGAAGCATAGTGTACTATATAGTTCATATACTTTGAAAGGGAGACTGTATAGACATGTTGCATTTAAGACTATTTTAACATCAATATGGTTCGCATAACGTAATTATAAACAGTAAACATAAAAACTGCCATCATAATATTAAATATTAATCATTCAGAGGGTGACTGTGTGCCTTCAAGATAACCTTTAAGATAATTTTTAAACATGCATGTTATCGAGCAGTATTCTGTGTCACTGCTCATTAAACAGCTTATAGTCAACTTGAGAATTCAGAAAGCATTAGAGACAGATTTAATTTAATAGGGCCATGCAGACTTCACTAGAAAGACCTCGAGAATTAGCTCCACATATACATCAGGATCATGTAAAACACGTCATATCTCATAGGGTATTGCAATTACCGTAATAACCTAATCCAGCGGTTCCTCATTCTCTGCAAGTCCTATATTATAAACTACTTATAGCATATACCGAAAGAGAACTATACATAACCAACTTACCTACTAATGCTAATAGCCACCAATGACCAAACTGACGCAGTTGTAGCCATAGTTTGCAATGGTCTTATGATATGACACATAAATCCTCCATACAGCCAAGCACTGTCATTAAAGTAGTGTGCAACGTCCAACGGTACATTAATCAGCAAGACAGCCAGATCGGCAAAAGCTAAATTCACGATCAGATGATTCGTGACTGTCTTCATTTTTCGTTTACGATACACTACTAGCACCACAAGCACGTTTCCGATCGTGCCGAGCACGCAAATTATGATCCACGAGGCGATCTCGAATTTTCTAAATCCTGGACTTAGCATGGCTTAATGTGACTTTATGATATCTTACCAAAATCATCAAACTTCAAGTTTGCAATTTTGCTAATTTCAACTATATTCTGATGAGTTAGACTATGGGATTCGTACTCATCATAGCGTTAACAATTCCAAGAAATTACTTGAATGTTTTTGATGTGTGGATCTATACTGATAAAGTTTCAAAACCGTTAGCTTTTCCTGGTAAAATTGTATGTTAATTTTCGTTTTCCATTTATGAATATATGATGTCTGATTTGAGTGCTGTCGTACACGCAAACTCCAGTTGTATATATTTCCAATGTTTATATTCCAAAGTTGTTTTGGATTCACTGTTTAGGTATATTCTTCTTCGATTTGTTTGTTGTGGATACCGTATAAATTATTGAGTCCACTGAATCAGCCCAGTAAGATTCTGATATCTCCTTTTGTAAGTGACTTGTGCACAAACAAAACACTCCAAACAGTCCCAAAGAGTCTGATATCTCCTTTTAATTGTATACAGTGGTTCCAGAGTGCTTTCGGTTTTCGATTCTCCCTGTTGATTTATGATATAAATATTCCAGCCGTATTCCTTCTTTAAGCGCCTCTCGTTCAGTAAGGCAATTTGCTTATTAAATCAGAATATTTTTTTATCCTCACTTGACATCCACTTCAATTTCAGATAGCTTCTTCACCTCTGTGTCTCCCTGTGCTGAATTTATCACTTGTGTCCAGGTATGACCTTTGTCGGTTTTGTCCAGTACAAACAATTGCTTCAACAGTTTGAATTTCCACGCGAGACCTTCTGTTGTGTTCAGGCTCCTATTTATTTGATTGTAAATACTTGTCCAATCCACGTTCACAAAGGCAGGGCTTTGGCTTGGTAGTCCTTATTCGCCAAAACAATACACATGCAATATAATCGCTTTATCCGATGTCTAAATCTTTAAATCGTTTGATTTGTACTCTTGTGATTTTTGGTTTGGCTTCTTTCCCTTCCCCTTGTTATATATCGGGAGTTCCAACTATTGTCCAATGCACGGGCCTACCTCTGAGCTGTCACAATTCCAATGCTTTGTGCCAATGTTTTGGTTTTCAAAATATGATATCTCTCGAAGCCAAGCAATATGTATGCTTTATTCGGAGCCGTTGACGTTTCCTTAAGAAGGCATTCAATTATGTTGCAGACAGCTTCACCGATTGCCCAAGTGATAAGTGATACTTAACGGTAAATTCAAACCGCTGTCACAGAATATTTTGTTCCCAATCCATCCGTTCCTCGGTGTTTACCTTTCCCAAGTTCTAAATACGTTAAAATAAAACGCGTTACTCGTTGCGATCGACATAATGAAGACTAATATCTCAAAGCGGCAACGACGCCACATGCGTATTCGTTTAATTAGTTGCATTTGCAAGGAAAAATTGCCGCAGCGTATGACCGTAATATATTTGCAATGTAAAACATTTATCATTTCCGTTGTTGATACGCAATTGTTGCGAGAGTTTTAAAGCGATTTTCAAGAAGATGGGAAGATAAGATTTAACCTAGACCGTATTGCTTGAATATCTTCTAGGATTTCATATTATTTTTCGTCTACTGTTTTTTTTTCGTATCAAAACGTGTAGGCGCAATGTATAAGGCATAATTTATACAGTATGTTTTTGGTTGTGATGCTCTCATGTAAACATATTTTGTTTTGAGGGTCAATGTTCATTAATTTTGTTTATTAAATAAAGAAGGGGCGAAACACTGTTCCAGTCGTTGTTTTGTATAAAAATAGGCACGTAAGAAACGAGGGATTTGCCAATGAACTCGCAAAATGTTGGCATGAAATCGAAGTGTATGTATATGTATTGTTTAAGGCAAAATATGAAAAAAATGTATTGTTTGTACAAGGGCATGTATGGATTGCATGTTTATAAATTCTGAAAGTATCCGCCGTCAAAACAAAAGTAACGGTTTTCGGCCAAAGAGCGATTTCCAAAATGTCCGCTTGTAGCGTAGCCCCGGCATGATTTTTAGATACCTTGTACGGGTATATAAAAGTTGATTCGAACGGGATTTAAATTCCCACCTTCGGGACTTCGGTCGGCCGCTCTATGGAGTGGACTATGGAGTGAACATGGATTGGAGGCGAGCCTTTCGCGACATAGCCATGCGAGGATGCGCAGTATTTCAATTCTATAACAGAATCATCCTCACATGAAATATCCAAGTTGATTTAGAAATTTTGTGAGTTCAAATCCCGTTGAGGAAATCGTGCCGGGGTATATGCTAAACGGATGGCAATAAAGCCCGTTTTCGGCGCTTCTTCTGTAGCGTATTTCTTTGCTTCCGAAAGGACTAGTGCCAGGGCCTTAGCGATGGATGCGTGTGGGGGTGTAACACCCCCAATATTTGTTCATGAGTGATTTCAGGTAAATTTCTACGTGCCTTAAGGCTGATTTCCACTGTTGCGTTTTTCATACGTACGTATACGCACGTAAAACTTTCAAAATCCGTTTAAATGTTACTTATGAAATAACTAAATAAATAAAGCAACAGAATTTAGTGTTCCGCAAGTTTTAGTATGCATTTGTTAACTTATTTGTAAAATATTTAAAAAATAGAAGGATTCCAAGTTTTACGTGCGTACGAAAAACGTAACGGTGGAAATCAGCCTTAACGCTGACAGGCAAACATGGAAGGTAAAAATGAACGCAAGATAAGAACGTGAAATTTTAGTTTTGCATCACTGGGCCAAAATGTTTTGGGGGAGCATCCCCCCGAACCCCCTAGTAGATTTTGGACCCTTTATACTCCCCCACACGAACGGCAAAGTCTTTGCCGTGTGTCCCGGACTATGACAGAAAGAAAAGCTACAATTTGTTATGAAGTTCAGAAATAGCCTTTAGATAGGGACTGTGTTCTACACAGTGGATAGTAGTACATAAATCTTGTGACTAGCGTTTTTTTCTTCTATATAGACTTCATGATGTACTGTTAATTGCCATGAGAGTGAAGCACTGATCTCAGTGAAGTCACTGGCTATTGCCAGGACAGGAATGGATATTACTGGACATCTAGAATGATGTACTGTTAATTGCCATGAGAGTGAAGCACTGATCTCAGTGAAGTCACTGGCTATAGCCAGGACAGGAATGGATATTACTGGACATCTAGAAAAAATCATCTACAAACAATGTGTTAAAGGTACCGTATTTATATTATGTTAGTAATCTATATACACAATGCCCTCGGTATACAAATTGAAAAGTTGTGAATTACGTTGTTTTAAAATTTCGAAAACCAACGTTGTGGTCGTCCAAATTTAAGACTCAGTTTGTCATGCGACGTATATAAAAGCTAGTCAGTCAAACCTTCTCCAAGATTCAGCGCAATAACCAAGGCAATATACTATTCCAAAGTTGTAGTCAGAGAATTTCGGTTGAAACGGTCTTTCACAATAAAAAACATTTACAAATATCTTGATATATAAACCTGCCGGTAAAGATAAGCTGTCAATGATTTGGTTTGCTTTGTCATGCTGTGAGCGTTAATTTAAAATTTAAAACATGCATCTTGATTATAGTCCGTTTCTTATATGAAGTACATTATCAGTAAAATCTGTAAACAAGTGACAAGAGAAAAACATTCTCAGAATCAAGACCAATGCCACGTATTCGTAATTGTTTTGTGGTTTAGTATAGCCCACGGTTTACAATCATATCGCGCCCACCTAAACAGCATAAAAAATACATAGCATCCCACAGTCCGAAGATAAGCATTTTATCAACAATTCGTTACTTCCTTATTTGTTATGACAAAGATATTTCCCCTGATTCACAGTTGGGATTTCTTGTCTTCAACGCAGTGAGTCAGTTTCCTCAAATATCTCTTACAAATCCTTCAAATTTACTTGTATGTAAAACTCCTGCTGTGGATCACAGAGACTCCAGCCTTTGCAGGATCTACTGTGGATCACAGAGACTGCAGCCTTTGCAGGATCTACTGTGGATCACAGTGACTCCAGCCTTTGCAGGATCTACTGTGGATCACAGTGACTCCAGCCTTTGCAGGATCTACTGTGGATCACAGAGACTGCAGCCTTTGCAGGATCTACTGTGGATCACAGAGACTCCAGCCTTTGCAGGATCTACTGCGGATCACAGAGACTCCAGTATTTGCAGTATATTTTTACATGAAAAATAACAGCCGACTTTGCAGAAGGTAAAAACCCCAGTAATATCAGGCTTCCTTGAATTCGGAAATAAAAATTTAAGGCCTTGATTCTTGGAAGTCCTTGAATTTATAAAGAAATACTTGAAAGTTCTTCAATTCTTCATGCTTCAGTAGTTGGATATCTTCCGAAATTGTCTGACACTAAAAATTGGACATTTTGTTAAATTGATTTTGTTCATGTCTTACAAAGGCCATGGAAAAGCTTGAAAATCCTTGAATAGTTTTTAAGCCATTTCAAATACTCGCAGTCCATGCTTTATCAGACATAAAACACTCGGCTGTCGCCTCGTGTTATCTGATAAAGCACTCCTGTTCGTGTTTTAAATAGTACGTAAATGACTATACATCATGCACCTAATATATTGTCGTATTGATAATTGAAGATTTTAGAATGCTAAAGGACTAACACATGCAGGTACATGTCGCATGTGCTTATTTGCTATGGAAAATGATCGCCTTCGTTCGTTAAATGAGATGAAAAATAATGGGATGTATCGCTTGTAGGGCTTAATATCATTTTTGCATTGACGGGTTTCAGCTGTACTTCATGAAATAAAGTTACAGGAAGTTGTGTTATAAAATTACATTTTTCCCAGCTGCTCGTCTAACGCCTGTATTCTAAAAGCTCACTCACACTCAAAGAGTGGAGGTTCAATCTGAGCTCCCGTTGAGTGTCAGTGCTGTTTTTGAATAGCTGGAGGGTGAGTGGTCACATAGTAAGGAACGACACTAACCCTCCAGCTTTTCAAGAACAGCATTGACACTCAAGAAAAGCTCAGATTGAACCTCCACTCATTGAGTGTGAGCTTTTAGAATACGGGCATAAATAAATGTAATATACAACTATACAATTCCTAGACCTGTAGTATCCCTGCAATCAGATCTCTATGGACAGTACATGCATATTTGTTATTTCAAATATGTTATAGTATACCTTTTATCTAAATGCTTGGACCACAGTTACATCTTTTTTATGTAATTTCTTATGCATACTACTGCATAGAAAATGACCTCCACTGTCTCTTATTCGAATAAATTGGATGCCGGATGTTTGAACTATATGAACAACTACAGTGTCCAGATCTCAACAGATACACTGGGAATTAATTTCACTCCGGTGCAGTTATTTTGAACCTCCTAATTTGGAGATAAATTTGTTTCAAAAGAATTCTTCTGAGAGTTAAATTAACTCGTTGAAATAAACAGGATATAGTCTATATTTGTTATTTCAAAGATAATATCGGGTTGATGAATCGAAGTTATACAGCATACGTGTTTTTGTTTAAATACCTACGCTTCACACAGGAAATGAATGCTCCCATTCCTTAAATGAAAAGATTAATGAGATAATGTATCATGCATGTACGATCTATGATTACCATGCATAATAAGTTTTGGAGGAGTCTCATTTTGTAATATGAATTTCTACATTAAGTTATTTGAAACTATGAAGTGTATGAAATACAGCTATAAAATCGGCCCACTACAATGTTTGATATATTCAAATTGTAGATTAGCTGAACCATGTCCATTTGTGCTACAATATGACGTTCCCATACATGACGTCTCTATACAGGAAGTCTACGGATGATAAAGTTATAGAAATAGTTAAAGTTATAAAGTTTTTATCCTTTTGGTAAAATAAGCTTTTAGGATCCGTAAAGATAGCTTTGTATAAGATAGTTTTGATTTTTCTAGCTGATTTATATGTATATATTTTACGAGGCTCAGTATATCTTGATCAATAATAGTCTAAAGTCTGTATTTTATTTTCTATTCATCTATCTATCTATATTCCCAGCTGAACAATGCTTATGATATTTAGGCTTTGTATGATATCAAAAATTGCTAAAATTTTATCAATTAGAGGGCTTGAATCATTGTTCTTTGATAATAGACTAAATATTTAAAAAGAGCCAGTGTTTTGTTCATGATGGACAAATCAGATTATTGCGTGGTTACCGTTTGTGTGAATTCTTCCTGATAGCTGCAGTGACTTCCTCCCTGTTATTTTGGCAAAAATGAAACGCTATGGCATAATAGTTAAGTATGCACTAGTCTTGCGAGTTGATGCTTACCTTACACTAGTTTTCACGTTGACCAAGAGTAACACCTTTATCGTCTACGAATTATGGAATATCAAAAACAATATGTCAATACATCCAAGCCTCTTGTTTTTATATCCAGTTAATTGAAGCATTACCGTAATAGTTCTTGAAACAACAATTGAATGGGTCGTCGACCCTGCCTGTTGTAATTATACTGATGTTTAAGTTGGAAAGGTTCTTGGTATATTTGGAACGATGGTTTAGTTTGAAAATGAAATTATACGTTCCAAGAATGATTCGTTTAGAGATGTTTTAATATACTAGTGTATCAACAGCTGCGTATAGCTGTGTTTGTGCTTTCTCTTATGAAAATACTTCTTTATTTTATGAAAATACTGCTGTCTTTTATGAAAATATTGGAGATGCAAAATATTTGTTTGTGGTTATTGAAAGTGTCGCTCAAAAAGGCTGTGTTGCTAATTAAATACCAAATTTAATGCTTGCAATACAAACAAATCGTACATATTAAACGTACAGCATTTAATTAATGCATATGTAAATGACATCATAAAACAAAACCTTTTTAATTTGCAGCAGTTACAGTAACAGCTGAAATAAAATGGACTGATATACTATATGTACATTGTATATAATAGAATCAATGCATCTTGTAGTTCACCTGGGCAACCTCGTACCCAGGGCTTCTGCGCTTATTGCGCAGAAGCCCTGGGTGCGAGGTTGTTCACCTGGGCTACGGGGCTGGGTACGAGGTTGTTCATCTGCCCGCCAATTTAAAGGTGATGCCTGCACTTTCATCATGCTTTAGTTCAATGCACATGGAGGGCATTTAAATAAAACAAAATAATTCATTAGAATTTCATTACTTTCCGTGAGTTTATTATACGCTATTATAGTAGTATATCCTTTTGTCAATGCTTTAGCAACGTGGCGCAAACAGAAGCTAGCTAAGTTTTTCCTATATATATATACAGTGTCCCAAAAACATTTCGTGGTTTAATTTGCAACGTTAGATTTAATTTAATAATTTCGTCACCTTTTTATAGATATATACAAAATGTGTGTACTAACAAACAAGCAACACTGACACAACATTCTTACTCAAGATAACACACTAAACATAGACGTGACTGGAGAAATGAACAGGACTTGCGTTCCAATTGAAACTTTACCCCTATCAATTAGTAGTATATGATTAAACAAACAACTATATAACAGAAATTTACTAAGGACTATATGTTGGTTATTTAGCATTATAGAACTCGTGTAGCCTGGCTCTGAATATGGATATATACTAGAGTTAATTTATACTAGAGATTTCAGTTCTGATGGAAGACTGTTCCACAGGTTTGCTGATTTTATAAAAAAGAGTTCATAAAATAGTCCTGTTTGTGATTAATCAGGAAGTTTAAATTGTTTTCGTCGTAATTGCGTCGTGATTTATAGCCTGGTTCGAAGGTGCACAAATAGTTATTGACATCCATAGATATTAGTCCGGTTTTTGATTTGAAGACTAGCGATCTCTTGGCGGAATTCTAATGGAAGGAGCTTTGTTTTAATTAGCTTCTCTATATAGGAATATTTAGCGAAACGAATAATCTTCCCCATGAGGCAAAAATTGCTGAATCCTTAAGCTCTTTCAAATCGATATTAAAAAAGGAGAATGAGTTGAAACTTTCTTGTGTATGATCGTGTGCACTAAAAATCACCGTATTTTCTTGTAAATAGTTAAATTTATATTTCACGCCCTGCATGGAAATCAGCCTCCCAACGGTTGTTGAGACTAGCGTGGTTAAATAAAGTTTGTATGTATGTTGGATATTTCACTTATGAAGATAACCAACAGTTTGTTCACCGGAATCACTTAAGGTGGCGACACCAATATTCTGACTTGCCATATATGCGAATTAGGTGGAATAATATAAAATTTGAAAGAGCTAAAATGAATTATCGTTCTGCCAGGCTCATTATTTGAAAGCTGAATCGTTAAAATGTAATACTGCATAACAACGTGCCTTACACCAGGCAAAAAATTACGAGAATCGCTAGTAAGTATTTTTACAAAATACAAATTTGAGGGCATAAAATTCAAGGCCTAATTAACAAAGTAATATAGTGTTGTGTTTTTACACGTTACGTTATGAGCAATCTAATTAACCCCCTCCCGATAAAACAATGTCATATAAATAATTTCCTAGCGGTGTGCCAAAATATGCAAAGTATCACAACTCACGTTCAATAACAGTATACGTTTTAAAGTAATTAAAAACTGGTAAATAATTCTTGGTTTACCTGTTTCAGGAAACATTCGACAGGGTTGAAAATCCTTCAATTTGAAAACAAAAGTTCGGGGCTTAAAAATTCTTGAATTTATCAAAGAGTGCTCGAAAGTCCTGAATTAATGGTTTTTGGATATTTTCTGAAATTTGTCGGTTTACTATTCTGTGTATATGTAACCATATAACGTTACGAAACGCGGACATGATTGAATTGATTTCGTTCATGTCTTACAATGTCAATGCTGTTTGAAATTTATTCCACGTCAGTTTTTTTCTGATTCATTCATTTAACGTCACTTTTTAACTGATTTCTAACGCCTTCCCTTTCGTCCTTGAACTTCCTTGAATTCTATACTCTTCCGGATCTGTAATATATGAACCCTGATTAGAAACAACAGTAGAAAACTTGTTTAACGGAAAGCATTCTTCACACATCGATTGACTCGAAATTATAGCAAATCATTATCCTATATATATACCTATATATATATATATAATACGAATCGAAAGGCACACTGTGCCACCAATTTTAAACGATGTTTGAATTTTCCGCCATCTTGTCTTTGGCAAAACTGCATGACAGGATATACAATAGACAGAAGTGTACATGATTCCCCCAAATTACGAGAACCACTGTGTATTGTTACAAAATACAATACAACGGTTCCGAAAATGAACTTTTTTAATATTCTAGCTTTCGACTCTATTTTAGTCATCATGATGCAGGAGTGATGACGACTCATTCGTGATAATGACGAAAATATAGTCGAAAACTAGAATATCAGTTAAATTCACAGTTCTTTTGTATATTTATATATAGGCCCCACTGCATATCATTTTAAAATGCAGTTCAATTGCACAGGTTACCACGCAATACAGTATAAACATCGTCTATAGTATACTTTAGTTCACAGTTAGTACTAGACGTATCAGTTAGTATGAGTATCAGTTAGTATGAGTTAGACCAGGACCTGTAATTCAATTGAGATATTAAGTGTAGTCAAAAAATGACATTGCTCTGTGTTAAACGATAAACAGACATGGCAAATTTAGAATTTTTGTGGACATATTATAGCTATAGCTTGTATATAGAATCTCTCATATAATCATGGATACTTTGATACATAGCATATGTTTTGACAATTATGCCCCCTGTTTCGCCTACAGACTGTTTTGTAACAATACACGTTTAATACTACGTTATATATTTGAGGCAGGAAATCTATATAAGACCTACCTGAAATATTCTTCGCACAATTATAGGATCTGATTATGAAATCATTATAGAAGATTTCATCGTTTAATCAAGCATCACTACAATAGCTTATATATATATATCTATAAGTTCCCCAAATTTTGCCTATATTTACTTTAATGTAGCTTTACTTAACTAAATTATACTGATAGTTGTGCATTTCAATGAGAAACCAAAGACCTACCAGAAATACTCTTCACACAGCTACAAGGATTTCTTAGAAACGACGCCAGCTCGCTTCGCTTGAACAAGTATATCACTTGAATAGCTTGCTCTCTCTGGGTTGTGGCTGTTGTGTTTCAACCGAGCAGCTCTATATCTATAATAATCACTTCCACTATATGTAAATTATGCCTCCGCATCCAAAGCTATTCAACGCAGCCCCCACATACTGCGGTAAAAGGATTGATTACATGTGTCAACAGACCTCTTCAAAATGCTACTCAACAACATTGTACAAAACACAGCCTAAAGACACTCATGATATGACGTCAACTGGGAACCTTCATGTAGTTACTGAACAAAACTAACCAAAGGCAAAAATACTATATTTTCAGAACTATCGTGCTGTGTTTTCAGAATCCACGCAGTGTATTCCGCCATTCCGGTTTGTTTTGCCTTTTAATTACTTGCGTAGTTGTTATGCAATGTTTTCATTGGTTACGAGCGGAATGTTATCTGCTTGAGTAAATGTTATTTTTTGCTATCTTGTTTTTGCCCGGTATCTTTGCCTCATAGGAAGTAAGCGCGTCATATAGTATAATTGTTTTTAAAATTTATAAATTTTATGGCCGCTCATGTTTTGACATAAAGGATATTACGCCTTTAAAATATATTGGTTTTGTTACTTGATTTATGATTAATTTAAAATACCGTTAGGTTTATAAATGAAGTGCGTGTAAAATGTTTGAGATCAAGAAATGTGTTTTTTTAACTTGTACCCATAAATCAAACTTATTTATAAATAGTCATGAAAAGGCTTGTTTACACTATCAAAGTTTTTGTGATTACTGTAGGCATTTTGCATGCATGGGTAAATTCTAAGTTTCAGTGAAGGATTTGTAAGAAATGTAAGGAACTGACTTAACAGTATTTGAACACAGAGTCCGTTCCCTATCAAACATTTCTTACAAATCCTTCAAAACATAAAATTTATCGATGCAAAATTCCTACTGTGATCACAGAAACTTTGCAAGTGTATATAAACAAGTCCAATGATTCAGTCCATTACAGTATATTGTGAATATACAGGAGGAGGATATGGAGGATACAATGATATTTAGGCCATATTCACAGCAAAGGCAGTGACATACGTTAAAAACCACTTTCTCTCTCTTTTCCATCATCCAAAACCTTATATTTTATAGCATTATTATTATAGATGAATAATCTACTATATGGCACTGTAGTCAGGTCACTGATTTTGATATATTCCCAGATACCGCCAGTAATTTTTGGCTTCCCCCGTTTCCTTTTGTATATGATTGGATCCAGGTATAACAAAGAAGACAGGGCGGCATGCATGATAGAGAGGTTTTTTGTAGATGGAAATTGTAAATTTTGTACAACTATTTAGACCTATTAACCAGGAGCATGCAGCTGCAAAAACTACAGGCCCTCTGGCTCTGTGGCCCCGCGATTCCGGTGCAGTGCTCTAACCAACGTGAGCTACACACAGTCAATTTGTTGAGCATTGACCGCAAGTTCATGTATATTATATGGATAAATATGAGAATTTGGGGCATCTCATTGTATAGAAATTATTGTTGAATGATTTTGTAGATTGAAAATTTCGAAATTCAATTTCGGTCATTTTGATTGCATGTGAGCAACCGCGAGTATACCATGATCATGTATACATAAAGTTCTAAATCATGAACACATGTTTTATTACCACGTGACACAGAAAATTCTCGTTTCATTCACTGTACTCATTACATGTATTTAACATGCAGTTGTATATTTAACACATATGTATATACTACTTTACTTATATAGATGTCCATGAACGTGCTGTAAAGGAGTTTAGGTTTTTGTCGAGTGTCGAGGGTTCAATGTCGAGGGTGAGGGTAAAAAGTCGAGGGTGAGGGTAAATAGTCGAGGGTGAGGGTAAAAAGTCGAGAGTGAGGGTAAAAAGTCGAGGGTCATAAACAAACAGCATAGATTATCGGGCAGCTGTGATCCTCAAGCCTGTAATGGCAATACATTAAGGCAAAATATGTTACCAATAGCAAGTTATGATTAAAAAACTTGTGTGTTTTCTGCTAGATCGGAGCGCGGTTAGCGCGGTGCAGACATGCCACTGTTTCAACTGGAAACCAATGAACGCTAAATGATTCAGTTATTACTCGTCTCACGGCCAAACATTGTCATTGACCAACCTCGCAAGCACACCTGCGGCGGGACGGAGACCTTTGCTTGATGCGAGGTTGAACATTGCCATTGGCCTGTTTATGAAATTATACTACGTTTAGAAACTCTTTTAAGACTTTTAAGTTAATATTGATAATAAATGCTCTTTGTAAACCCTCGACATTGCATGGACACTCGACCCTCGACAAAAACCTAAACTCTGCTGTAAAGTCGCCTTGTTATTGTAAACAACACTCGAATTGTCGTACGTACACTTCATATTAAGAACTGGAAGATAATTTTGCACATTAAAAAGACCGCATGTTATTTTAATGTCAAGGAGCTGACTTTATACATACCGCTTGCAGTGTTCGATTGTTTGTTTATTCTATATAGTTTATTGAATATTTTTCGTCGGAGACTGGCAATTTATTTTCTAAGGTGTGATGGTAAATATATGTGATAAATGCGGTGGAGGTTTTCAAGACGGCGCGTCTATTTTTCAAGATCGTTAAAGCGCAAAAGAATGAACAATCATATATACTTAATATATAACAACCCTAAACCTACACTCAATTCTAACATTACAGTGTCACAGTTAATACAAGAACATTAGAAACAATGTTAACAATATATTAAGAACATTTTTCTGATGAAACTTACAACAAAATTAAAACAAAATTTCCTGATTCACGTATAATGTCCTGCAATGGTTAAGTTTTAGCACAGCTATTTTCAAAATATTTTAGCACCAGAGAACAAATGCCTTCAATCTTGGGGACACTATATATACATTAATACTGTTCTACACATAACCCATCTTATAATTACTACTGTAATAAAGAAGATTTTATAAAATAAGACCTGATCCAAGTTCCAATATCTTCTATCATCAGCCATGACGTTGGACCATAATGAAGACGTGATCATTCACAATAGAATACTATATAAATTATATTCCCTGGAGCAGTCCAGTATGTTGTAGTTGTTCAAACTGCATGCTACGCCAACAATTAAAACGTTCGAAGTCATGTCACATGTGGGATGTTTTATATGATTTCACTGCCTATTGCTATTCAAGGGTTGTTTACAAAAAAAGATAAGTACTATTAAAAGGCAAATTTCTGCTGTTTCTAAACTCACTAATATTGAATAGTTAGCAACACATCGTGCAGATTATTGCCATAGTACAACATTGACCGGTGACCGCGAGGGCTGGGGTTTTGTTGTGTACGATCGCTATCTGGCGATTTTGTCTTATAGACATTTTCTCGCTCATTTTCACACCTTGTTGTCATATTGGTTCTAAACTATTACCAACCATCCAAGAGCTATAAAAATAAGGGGATAATGTTTGAAACACAACTAAACTCTAAAGCTTTACATCAAGGAGTATAATAAGTAAGAAACAGTTGCACCTGAGACTGAGTAGGAGGTTTAAATATAATCACATTCATCTGACAAAAACAAACTCATAGACAAAAAAGTGTGAATATTCATGGTAAAAGCTAATCCTATTTTAGTATTTCTGATAAGCCAAACTTTTAAGCTGATTTAGTCAACCTTATGCAGTTTGTATAATTGAACGGCATTCTTTTCTAAACTACTCGTACGATTTGCATATATGGCATGAGGCTGATCTTAATCCTAATTTATTATATTGTCATAGATTTGTTGATATTACGTCACTCATGAAATATTCAATGTTTGGATCAGCTGGGGAGCCGAAAAGTGTTTTGAAACATGTTTATGTGTTCCTATATACACGGGTTTATATTTTGTCATAATGATTGATATTGAGGTCAATAATGATCAATCCTTGTCTATATGCCGCGTACGTGACCCGCTTTCCCACATTTGAATAAGATTGTCAATAAGTGCCATTAAAAGACTCGATATCAAAGATTGGATATAAGTAATATGCGGATGTCAGATATAGTGATTAAATGCAAAAAAATGCCAAAATAGAAAAAGCATGCCAACTTATAATCTGGGATTTTTTTACCTATATTATATGTTTATATAGTATATATACACATATCTTCATGTAATTGTCGAGGCGATAACATGATATATTTAGACTACACAACTTCTGCCTATAACTGTCGCATACAACCTGCTCCCAACTTGAATTGCACTGACACTGCGTAAGTCAAGTACACAACTCACCTACGACAATATAAGCGAGTATAGTGTGCTTGATTTATACAGTCATTACAACTCAAGTTGTATAAGCAGGTTGCATGCGACAGTTTTAGGCAAACGTTGTGTAGTCTAAATCAGCCTTAATCGGAAGATCTGGAAATCTTCACTAGTGAAGAATTGAGGTAATAAGCAAAACTATACCACAGTATATATATAAACTGATTTATAATGGCTCCAGAGCGCTCTCTGTATAACTCAAAGGCTAAACTTTGTCTTCCTTTCAACCTGTCCCAAAAAGGTGAAATATACTTTTCCTTATTATATAAAAGTCCATAAATCATGACGATTTAAAAGTTTTTATACCAAAGACATGATTAATGACTATAGCGTTTACGTGGGCCCCATTTTTCATATCTGAATAAAGGCATTAGGTTTTAATGTATATCGAAAGTTGGGATAAGGATACATCCGGAAGTAAGATATTTGGTGATTAAAGGGGAAAAATTTCCAAAATAGAAAAAGAAGATAAAACCGAAAACTATAGAATGTTCTTCTAGATATTATATTTATTTTCACAGTGTTGAATTACGACGCACTTAAAATCATAAAAAATAGTTAGGTTCCATAAAAAGACTGATTAATGATTATAGTAGATTGAGCGTAGGAAAAGTGATATATCCGTAAGATATAATAATAAATGAAGAATAGAAAAAGAAGACGAAATTAAAATGTGGGATCCTGTAATATTTATAGTATGCATATTGTCTTGGATCATAACCAGTTCAAATAGCAATACAAAAAATTTCTTCTACAATCCCAAAACTAGGGTGTAGCAAGTTATATGCTAATAGCATTCACCATTACTATATATCTATTTCTTACAAATAGCGGTGGCTAGCTCGAAAGCTATGCTACTCTAGCCGCCGCCCACTTCCAATGTAAAATATTATGTCATTTGATTCCTATTATATTGTAAAGCTTTCTTCTATATATTAACTATACTCCAATTATGTAACAGAAGTGTGAATAAAATGAATCTTGATCTATATAGCTTTACTTGGTTGTTTCTTTCGTAAAATGAAAGCAATCTTCAGGCTGTTCTCTCCAGCCCGTTTTCCATTAGGCGAATTTATTCGCGTGAAGCGACTGTTTCTTTATCGGCGTCACGTTTACTGACCTGATAAGCGATGCCGACAAAGTCTGATAGTCTGACTAAAAATTTTCCTCTTTGTTTTCTCCGTTTTAACTCTTGAAGATGTTTTTTTCAATCTGAAAAACCTAAAAAGTTCGACATTTCATTCCAGCTAAATCTTTTGAAACGATTTTGGTGAATAGGGGCAATCTGCCAGAGACTGGAAACTATTAAACTAGAAATGGGATATACTGACCCAAATTCCTCCGAAAGAGCAAATGCCCTGTCTGACATGTTTTTCTCTCGGCGTCATTAATGAGGTTTAAACAATACTGAGATTAAACAATATCATAAGAGACGCGCGCGTGGGATATGATATTGGGGAAGCCGATTCTGTTGCAAAAACATTTTCCAATACGCGACCATCTTTACCTGTTAATTTGAAGACACGGTTTTACTGTATTATTTATGCTGATGATGATCTGGGCGTAGTTGTGATCGAACGCTTTGCTAAAGAAATATACGAATTCTTTGTTTGCACATGACGTCACTATACGTGTCATTAGGCGCCATCTTGGTTGATCAGTTTAAAGTTTTGTCCAGCCGTTTACATCGAAATAGTTAAGTTACTTTAATATTTTTGGTTTGTTTTGAAAACATCTTACTGTATTATGGATAGTTTACGATTTCTGGCACAATACGACAAAGAATGAAGAATATAGATTTTTAGTTGCCACGTATGTTTTGAAAATCAGCCAAGTCCAAGATGGCGTCGATTGTAAACGAGCAATAGTGTTTTCTATATAAAACACAAAACAAATACCCAAACTTATTTTCTATATAACAGTTTGTTTTTCTGAATTCATATGTATATCTCAGAAATATTATTTACATCTCGTATATTTTTTACAGTGAATAATATTTTTATTTCATAAATATTGGGGGCGTAATTTATACTCCTCCATTGTTTTTGTCAGTTCAAGTTCATTTGTATACCGTTACGTTATTATTTTTCCCATTACGTCAACTAAATTTCTCAATCGAGAAAAACAATCTCTTGTTTCTTGGACTTTTGATCTGAAACCATAATAATATACATTTCCCATTGGGGAAGGTTGATATCGCCAGTTTTCGTTAATTCTGATGATGCAAACATATTGTCGAGTTCCCATTCATGAAAACCAATACTCAATAGCACATATGAATTTGAAATGTTTGACGAATACTTAGATATACGTATTAACGTCTCGCGTCTTTATATCATCTTGATCGATTATAGTTTCTATGAAAAATGTGTTGAAAAATTTCGTGAAAAATATGTTACTTTGGCAGTTTGGCGTCGCCAAGGGCTTTTCGTTCTGCATCTTCGTTGTTTTCGCCGATTTCTTGGGATACTTTGAATTATGCTGCGAGACAGAAGCACAATATCCAGGCATTTTATTCAAGTGGGAATGCCTTATTCGAAGGGACTACATGTAGTCAATGTTACCAAATTAATCTTCGTATTTTTGGCGATGATTATCCACGATCGATGTCACACGAACGAACTACTGGAATCTTTATCCCTCAATCTCTTCTCCTTATCAGACGAGACAGACATACAATTTCCATTTTGAATAATTGAATTCCTCCCACTGCTGATCTGGCTTACTGTAGACAGCCTCGATTTAGGGCTGTATACGAGTGAGATGTATTCTGATTCCTTGGTTTCATTGGAATATTCCTCTTCTTTACAGTTCAAGCCAGGACATAATGTTCTTGAGCACGGTTTGAAATACTGTTTGAAGCCGTCACGAAATTGTTCGTTGCAGATATTGTATAAGATGGGGTTACTGGCACTGTTGCCGTATAGCATTACCACTGATATCACGCGAAGGACTGGAAACTTGGGTGACGCGTGGGTGACGCGCCTAAAAAATGAAGAAATTTTAGAAATACGTTATAGTAGTAGTTCCTCTGTAGTCTGTAACGCTACTATCCCAACTAATCCATTATTTGAGATGACCGAATCTGCACTGATGTTCGCCACTATGTTACGTTTTACATTTAACAAATATAAAACATTTTCCGTGTTGATATACAGTTATATCAACACGAGTGGTATACACAAGTTGTATACTACAGTTATATCTATACGAGTGGTACACAGTTATATCAACACGAGTTATATCAACTCGAAATTGTGTGAAAACGCTCCGCCCTCTTTTTCTCGTTTTCCCAATTTCCGC